TACTACGGTAGAAAAACGCAGCTTAGTTTAATTACACTTTTCTTTTGTTAAAAACCTACCGTGACGTCAAATATTAAAACTTTTATGAATTAAACGCACTTCAAAGGAATTGCCAGTCTGTAGGTTGCGACGCATAATTTGAAGACTCCGAGTAGTTGGAAAAAAATGGAGAAGACGAGCTTCGGCAAAAATTACAACATTTGTTTTTCACGGTATGCATTCATTATTTATTTTTAATCAAAAAAATTTGGTTCAAACCTTTTTTTTTAACATTATCTTTATTATGAACACAACTTGTGTTGGGAGTTTGGGATCCCTTTAAGGTTTTCTTTATTGTTCCTTGTTATATATTGTTTTGAATTTTACGTAAAGTTTTTTAGTTATATAATAAAGTATTTTAAAAGTAATCTAGATGACGCTTCAAGGTTTGGTTTATCTTCCCATTTTAAATATTGTTTACAAAAAATTTTTGCTTTATTGAGTTTTACTATAAAAATATGTAAATAAAAAAATCTATTTGTTGCTTTAAGGTTTGCTTTATTGTTGCTTTCTATATTTCATTTTAAAAGCAGGGATTATCTTTTTCCGGATATTTCTGGAAATCTGGATATTTTTTTCAACTTATAGTTTTTCCGGATATTCAAAACATTTTCAATACGTGCAAGTTGAGGCATATATTTTTGTAATATATTTGGATTTTCGGCTTTTTCCTTCATCAATCATAGAAAAATTATGAAAAGTATAAAAAATAAAAAAATAAAAAACAACTTAGCTAAAAGCGAAATTAAAAAAAAAAATAAGGGAAAATACATTCCGGATTTTTTCCAGATATTTTATTCAAACAATTTTCCGGATTTTTAAAATATGACTAGGATGATCTATGTAAAAGTTAGATTTTTTTTGTTTGTCTGAATTATATTTTTAAAGTATCTTTCAAAAGTCTATATTGCCTTATGGTTTGCTTTATTGTTCCTTGTTATATACTGTTTTAAATTTATCTCAAGTTCTTTAGTATCAAAATAACACATTTAAAACAAAACTACTTGACTTCTTAAAATTTGGTTTATTCTTTTTTCATATTTTTTTAAATTTTATAGTTGCATATTTTTTTAAAAGTTACCTCTTGTTTTTACTGAATTTTACTATAGAGGTATCTTTATAAATGTTTTCACCTTAAGTGTTGTTTTAATCTTCTTTTTTAAATATTGTTTCAAAAGTCACCTTAAGGTTTTATTTGTTTTACTGAGTTTACTATTAAAAAATCTAATATTTTTTAATGAAAAATACTATTATATATTTGAGGTTTTTGTTTGATTTGACGCAATTGAGGTTGCCTTAAGGTTTGTTTTATTGTTTTTTACCTTCTTTTTTTTTTAAGTCACTTAGGTTTTTTGTTTGGCTGATTTATATTTTTATAACATCTTTAGAGAGTCTTTGTCGCCTGTCAGGTTTGTTTCTTGTTAAATATTATTTTAAATTTTACCTTTTATAACTAGTTTCTTTAGTTATAAAATATAGTATTAAAAAATAAATCTAGTGGATGCTTTAAGGTTTGGTTTATTCTTCTTCTTTATACCTTGTTCAAAAGCCACCTATCTTTTTAATTATTTTTTTATGTTGTTTAAAAAATCAACATCCCAAATCTCAAAGACATGTTGTGTTCATATTAAAGTGAATGACAAAACAAATGTTTGGGCTAAATTTTTATGAATAAAACAAAAGAATAAATGAATACCAAGAAAAACTAACTTTTTTATTTTTGTCTAAAAATAAAAAAGTTAGTTTTTTTTTTTATTGTTGGCCTAAAATCAAAGTTAATTTTTTTTTATTGTTGGCCTAAAACCAAAATTTAAAAAAAGCTGAATTTCTGCAAAAATTAATTCTACACTATTAAATCTTTTAAATGGGATTAAAATCATGTATCAGGAATGATAAAGAACTCTATAATGAGTAACTTGCAAAAAAATTATAAAATATTATAAACTGCTTTTACTACTGTTACCATGAAAACCAAACCAATAAAAAGACTTTGAGAAAGGCTATTTCGATAAAAAAATCCTAAATTTCAAATTTTGTACTAAAATGACAACCACTGAAAAAGGCTTAACTTGAATGAGTAATTTTTTTTTCATGAAAACAATTGCTATAGTAACTTAGAAAAAACTGTTTTTCATGGTTAAGGGACCTGGGAATCAAAGAAGTTTAAAACGCTTTGACCCTTAAAATATCCTGATATTTTTTATTATGTTATGAAAAAAAAAACTCAAGATTAAGCTCATTTATTAAAGTTAAAAATCAAAAATGGTTAACTTCAGCTAGCAAAGTTCTGACTTATTTAATGTTTAATTATATCAATTTTTTTTTATATAAGGTTTTGTTAAATAATAGGTTTTTAGTTTGATGCAAAACTTTTTTAGACTTAAATTTTGGACCATAATGTTGAAACGTAATGGTTGGTAAGGGCGTTGCTAAGATAAATAATTTGACTTGGATAAATTTATTGAAAAAAAAGTAAAAAAAAAAATATATAAAAGTTTTATAAAAGTTAATATAAAATATAAAAATTCAAAACTTTTTAAAAATACAGAAATTTCTCTTTAAAAATACATTTAAAAAAAATTTGATACATTACAAAAGTTTTGGTTAACATCCATCCACCTTAAGATTTTCTTGTTTGGCTTAATTATGTTTTGAAAAAATCTGTAAAGAGATAGATGTTGTCAGATATTTATTATATTTTAAAAATATCTTTTACAAGTCTTTATGTTTTCTTAAGCTTTCCTTTATTATTCCTTGTTATATAGTGTTTTAAATTTTATGTAAATTTTTTTATTAATAAAGTAAGATTTTTTTAAAAAAAATCTAGGTGACTTTAAGGTTTGGTTTATTCTACCATTTTATATATTGATTTAAATTTTACCTTATTCTTTTTTTAACTATAAAAGTTTCTTTATCTTTAAAATATATTATTTTAAAAAAATCTTGATGACACCAAGGTTTACTTTATTCTTCCTTTCATATATATATTGTTTTAAAAATTTCATCTCTTTTGTTTTACTGAATTTTACTATAAAAATATACAATTAAAAAAAATCTATATGTTGCCTTAAAGTTTGTTTTATTGTTGGTTTCTATTTTTCATTTTAAAGTCACAAGTTTTTGTTTGGCTGAATTATATTTTTTAAATATCTTCAAAAAGTCTCTATGTTGCCTTACAGTTTTTTATATTGTTTCTAGTTATATTTTGTTTTAAATTTTACTTAAAGTTTCTTTAGTTATAAAATAAATATTTTAAAAGAACTAGATTACACCTTAAGATTTAGTTTATTCTTCATTTTCGTATATTGTTTTAAGTGTTTTATTATTATTTTAAGTGTTTTATTGTATATTGTTATAAGTCACCTCAAGGTTCTTCTGTTTTACTTAATTTTACTATAAAATTATTTTGTATAAAAATCTAGTTGTCATCTTGTTTTTAAAAGTCACCTTAAGGTATTTTTTTGGTTTTCTGAGTTTTACTTTAAAAATATCTAATAATAAATATGGAGGTTGCCTTAAGGTTTGTTTTATTGTTGCTTTTTAATTTTTATTCTAAAAGTCACCCTAAGGTTTTTTTGTTTGTCTCAATTATATTTTAAAATATCTTCAGAAAGTCTTTATGTTGCCTTATGTTTGCTTTATTGCTCCTTGTTATTTATTGTTTTAAATTTTACCTTTTAAGTCTTTAGTCATAAATTAAAGTATTAAAAAAAAGAATCTAGATGACACCTATATTTAGTTTTTTCTTCATTTTTATAAATTATTAAAGTCACCTTTAGGCTCTTTTTTTTACTGAGTTTCATTACAAAAATATCTTTAAAATGTATGTAAGATGTCTTAAGGTTTAGTTAATTGTTTCGTATTTTTAATTTAATTTTAAGATACTTTAGTTAATAGATAAAATATATTTAAAAAAATAATTAAATGACACCCTAAAATTTGTTTTATGTTATTTTTTGTATATTAATTTAAAATTCAATTTAAGGTTTTTTTGTTTGATTTGTTTGTTATTATAAAAGTTTGTTATTATAAAATTTGTTTGTTATTATAAAAAGAACTATTAAAAAATGCAGAGGTTGCCATAAGGTATTGTCCATAAGTTGCGCAACAACAAAAAAATCCACATTAAGTTTTGTCTTTTCGCTACAAAAACAATAGATGTTGGCACTGAATAAAGGTATATTTTATATTTTAAAATATTATTTGATTCACGTTTCAGCTTACAATATATGGTTTGCATGTTTTTTTTTTTTTTTTTTTTTTTTTTTTTTTTTTTTTTTTTTGAGGTAAAAATTAGTTTTTAGTTAGTAAATTCTTTATCTGTCATAAAATTATACTGTGAAATTACTTTAAAATAATTCTTTAGGAAATTTGTGAATTAATAAAAGGGATGTAGTGTCCCAAAACGAACATTGGCCTTAAATTAAATTTTTTTCCTATTTGGTGTCCAGGATGATGCTGTATAAAATAATAATCTTTAACTAAGAGCACAAAAACTGGTTTGAAACTAAGAAATATGTGAAATTAACAACAGATAAAAATGATTTCCCATCTGCATACTAGATTTATAAAAAAAAACTGATTAGAACTAAAAAAAAAGCCATAAAAAAATGTAAAATGTCGGACTGCAATAACTCATTTTGCTTGGGCAAGTGTATAAAAAATTTTTAAGAAATGATTATTGTGAATGTCTTTTATTTATCACTATCATTGTTACATGAATGTCTTTTATTTATCACTATCATTGTTATATTTTTATTGTTTGCATTTTGATTGATTATTTCCCATAATACATAAAATCTATCTGCTTTTTTTTTTTAATTTTTTTTTTTAATTTTTTTTTTAAAACTAATTTTTATTTGTTCTTGATTTAAAATATCTGTTGTAACACATGTAGTTTGTACAAACACATGTAACACATGAAGATTAGCTTTTAGAAGAAATAATTTTGATCTTTTTAGATACGATTATGGTGATGAAATTAAGAAAATGTTCTGGCAGACCATGGTGTGTTTTATTTATGTTAATATTTATTTTGTAGTTAATTATTTTTCGTTTATTAATTATTATCATAACTCTATCAAATTTTCTAAATTTTATTTTTATTTTAAAAAATGATTTTATCTTTAGAAAGTTTTAAATTTTGGTTTATTACTATCATTTTTTGTTCAACATAAGAAGTTCAAGCTAATACGTTTTGCTGTGTTACTTTTACTTAAAATATTAAAAATTATTTATAAGGTTTTAAGGTTTTACAAAAGTGGTGTGAGGAGAGGGGGAGTGTGTGAAATCTAAAAATGAATGATATGACAGTTTTTTGTTTTCATTTATTTAAATTTCATTTATTTAAATTTCATTTATTTAAATCTCAGATAAGTTATGGACACTTATTGTATTTTTTGAAATATACATTTATTGCTAAATGTTAGTAACATTTCAAAAATTACTAACATTTACCAGTACTTAAATATTTGTTAATAATTTAAAAATTTTAAAGTGCTTTTCCTGTTCGATTAAGTTTTTATGTTAACTGTTCTGTCAATTTGTTGTTTAGAAATTAGGTGTTTTGAAAGTTTCATTGGAAAAGCCATTGTTTGATGATTCTGACTCAGAAATTGAATATCAATATCATTCCACTGTTGATAATATTACTGAATCAAGTTTTACGAAATGTGATCTTATTTTTAAAAAAGAAAATGAGTTAGTGTGTTTATCACCAAACAAAGAAACAGAGTTTATTGCTGTACTTCCTAGTTTAATTACAACTCCTATAATTGAAAGATGTGCTTCTTGGGAAGAACTTAAAACTTTTTCAGAAGCTTCCAATAGCGATGTTCCTAAAGAAGACCTAAGACCTAGAAGATCAAATGATTTTGTCAACCTTCTAAACACATTACAACTGGATGATATTGGAAATTATATTAAAACTGACAAAATCATTTTAATGATTGGTTCTAGATCTTATAGCGCTCTTAAAAGAAAGAAAGATAAAGTTTCAGAGACTAAAAAATTGGTTCGTTCACGAATGCGGTTAACTGCAAGATTATACTTATCTTTTAAAAGTATCTATAACAATCAGAAAGCTGTTAAACTAGATAATATCTTAAATAATGCAGCTGACAAGTACTGTCGAGAAGTAATCACCATAGTTGGAGAAGCTATTAATTCTTTATCAGAAAAATCAAATGAAGATTCGGACCATCTTTTATTAAGTGCACAAAAAGTGGCTTAAAAATCAGTATACTTAATTTATTAAAGTTAACAGCAAAATTTTTGATCGGTTACTTTTTGGTCAAAAATGATGATTTAAAGTCTCAGAGAGTAGTTGACTTTTTAAAGGTTTTAAAGCTTTATGAGGATGATTTATTTGGTGATGCTTATTATAATCTAAATTATCGTAAGAATATTGATTTGCAGAAACCAATTAATCTCCCAAATGAAGCAGATGTTCAACTGCTCATTGAGGAATGTAACAAAATTATGAATTCTATTGATGATTTTCAACATCCATGTGAATCATTTGTCACTATCTGATCTGCCACTGCCACATGTTTGACTATATTTAATGCCAGACGAGGTGGAGAACCAGTGCGGTTACACTTATTTCTGTGGAATGAGGCTTTAAACAAGATCTGCCTGAAGAATTTGATATTGAGCAAATGTTTATCACTTATCAAACAGGAAAAGGTTCAGATCACACAGTTCCTGTTCTTTTTCCACCAGAATGCATAAAAGCAATGCGATATCTGACAAACAAAGAAGTTAGGAAAAATGCTGGAATTCCTGATGAAAACCAATATATTTTTGCCAGTACTCAAAAAAGCATGAGCCATGCTTGTGGTTGGCATTGCATAAACGAAATATTAATTCGTTTAGATAAAAAAGGTGCAATTAATGCCACCCAAAATCGACATCGTATTGCTACAATCTTGGCAAAGCTGGAGCTATAAGAAAAGGAAAAAACTTTAATTTATAATCACTTTGGACATTCAGAAAGAATCAATCAAAATGATTACCAAGCTGCTCTTGGATCCTTACAAATAAAAACAGTCAAAAGACTAAGAGATATTCAAGAAGTGACCAAGGTTAATCTAACTCCATTTAAGTCAATTATTTCTAATTCAGCTGAACAAGACTATAGCACTATAGGAGAACATGTAATACCAACTGATGGTGAGTAATGTTGATTGCTTTTTTAAAGTTTACTTTTTAATTGATTTATACTTTTATTTTATTTTATTTTTTTTTACTTATTAGTTGAGTTGATAACCAAAAATGATAGTAAACTGAATAGTGGTTTAAAAATAAGACCAGTCCTTGATTTAAAAAAAGGTTCAACTGATTTTTTATTTGTTTACTTTTTTTGTATTCATTAAGGTAAGGTTTTTAATTATTATTTTTTTATATTGTTATCATTTTGTTTATAGTTATAGAAAGTGAAACTTGAAGAAAAAAGTATCC